TTGGTTGTCGAGTTGAAACACTCAGACACATATATAAGCACACACACGCACTCACACACACACACATACACACACACGCACACGCACGCATACACACACACGCACACACACGCACTCACACACACACACACATACACACGGGCCATGGGCAGTCACAATACGCGCTTCCGCTGGCTGTTGCAGCGCTATAGCGCGACACCGCAAAAACGAAGTGCAAATTCGTCTGCTGATAATAGTTGAATACTGCGTATCATTAGCCACCAAATAAAATAGTACATACGTAGTGCACACCGTACATACAAACTCACATATGTAGCCCAGGACATGCTGAGCCGCTTTCGGCTTGTGTACCCAAACCTTTAGCAGTCCCGATCAATTCGTAACGAGATTCGAGTAACCGTTATGGCAAATATATGTTGCGACTTGTGTGATCAAATAACGAAATGTAAATGTGCATGTATGCTGTTGCTGAAAAATGAACATCTGAGAAAGCTAGCGGTACCAAAAAATGAACCGAAAATATATTCTATTGAGATCAAAGTGAAATGATCCATCAGAACATTCTGTGAAATAACATACTCAAAATCAAATTACAGGCCGTGCACGAAAGTGCTGTGAGACGGCGGAAAAAAAATCACAACGAAAAAGCATCGGGCAAAAATATTTGCAATAAACATCAAACACATGAATGACTCAAGTTATCACACATTGTGATCATCCTTTCTAACAAATGAACCTCACATGCGAGTGCAATTCACTGATTTTGCTCATCATCTTCATCGGCAAGTTCCTCTTCATCTTCCACATCATCAATGTCTTGCAACATGCTGCCACCATATACATTACCATAGACATACGATATACAAGGCGAGTGATTACGTTCGTACTGAAAATTTTCACTAGCGAAACCCAGTGCCATTCACGCTTTCATTTCTGACCACCCCTGCCCTTACTGTTACTGCCTAATCATTCAGCGAAATTAATCACACATAGCAACTCATGTATTGCACTCATTTGACCAATTGATCTGGTTCAGTTGGTCAAGCAAGTAAAATACGTGTGTTGCTATATATTGGAGTTTTTTGTACAATGCATAAGCCATCGCGAAAACTGTATGTTGCCACATTTGTAGCATCTGTTAAATCTAAAAGTGCATGAAAAATTAAATTCTCCTAACTATAAAACAACAGATACTTGCTGTTAGGAATCTGTTGAAAATGCAGTAGTACTAAATCACTGCATTTGCGAAGCAACGGATTTCCTCGATTTCACTGTAACCGGCGCGTTCGGGTTTTAGCGCTGTTAAATTTGATAATAAAATCAACACTGATAGGCACTAGGGCTTCTGTTCGATCATGAATTTCTGCGCAAACCCTTAAAGCAATCAGATCGTTAACAGTATGAATGGTTGTTGCTTCACTGATAACTGCGCACTCATGCTGAAACGCTTTTGGTCGTTTACTGTAAATGGCGACAGAGGTGATTAGTTGATGGTAGTGTTGCACTGTATGGTCGCACGATATCATAATATCCAAATGTATATGATTACCACGAAGAGAAGCTGCTGATGACCCAAGCGCTTGTTGTGTAAGTACAGGAAGGAGTAGGCGTTTGTGAAAGATATTATAGTCAGTTTTGCGGTCGCGCAAAAGAGGCAAGCATTCTCGTAAAACCCGTGATTTTTCGTTGTCCCATTGCCAAACCAGGATAACGAAAGTATTGTATTGCACAATTGACGTGTCCGTGCGCAGGGCAGATTAGTAAACGAAAATTTACGATTACAGATTCGCATAATAAAAGTCTCACAAAACTATCGTTTTCTGCCCAATTTGGTTGCGTTTTCTGCCCAATTTAGTCAAGTAGGAGCCAAACCTGCCAAAAACGGAACTTTGGCCACATTTAGCACAAAACTAGATATGTTGCAAAACGAATTCAGAATTGCAGTCGTACACCGCTAGCGAATATCCTCATAAAATTTCAACGTCTAACTAGACAGGTACTGTGAGCTGCTTCTTCGTTACAGATCTATTTATCGCGCCTATACGAGTGATACATGATACGCTTTATTATCCGTTTTTTTGTTTATTGCCCGCATATGTTCTAGATCGTTATTTTGCCTGTGATGTGTCAATTTCAACTTTGACATGTTCAAAAGTGATGCAGTCGTAATTTAAAGCTGAATTCGAAACCTTTAACTCATACAAGAGCGCAATACCTTTGTGAAATTTCAACTTCCCATTTTGTCTGATTCCCGAAATCGATTTTCCAACAAAAAATTTATATGCTTCCTTTTAGAAGTATTTGAGACAAGTATTATGCCCTGGTCGAACATGGGTTAGGAGCATTCTCGTGAAATTTCAGCTTCCTAGCTTCATCCAAAACACATACACAAACACAATCCCACACAATTATCAACAAACTCTCGTCAATATGTATTTTTGCTTTGCATAAATATGCAGAAACGCATAAAAATTGATAATGCAACATTGTATTATCGAAAATGCAAAGCCGCGGTAAACATGTATTCCAAAAGAAACTGAGTGGCTGGCCAAGCTGATCCTTCGTCCAGCCAATAACTCCTCAAATATAATCAGAGCGCCAACCTGTGCATGCATTCGTGCCTCTACACTGAGAAGCAAAGCTTCTTCCATAGTGTCTGTGCGATAAATCGCCCATGCTGGTTCATCCCACCGTAACGGAACTGTTGGGAAATGCATCGGATACATGAACGCTGCCATCGTTGCTCAGCCCTAGACAGTGTTTTTTACAGTATATATGCATATTCAAATCCAAAAATGCTGCAGTGCATAACAGAACACTAAGTGCTTCCCATTTCGCTCTGTTCTCAGACGCCAAATTAGTGAAGAAATGCTCAAAAATAAGCTGAACTGAGAGATGAAAATAACGCATTCTGCAAGCTCATAAAAGCACCAATGCATACTCGTAGCTTTTAAAAAAAATTTTAATTAATCGCTAATTAGAAAGTGCAAAACAATGACAACATCAGGAACATGCGCAGAAATCATTGAGCACAACCAATGTTTCACTTCATCGAAAAAAAAAAAACAATTACATTCATAACAAAACTAAGACTCATTCCAAATTTCGCTTAAAACTTGCTCATCAAAAATAAAGATTTGTTTAGCTTCCTCCCCAGCCAAAAAAGTACATTCGTGGCCCTGGGAATTCTGAACAGTCTGAACTGAGATGCTTATAAATAACGCAAAGCAAAAACCGATGCTTGTCGTTAATAAATGACTACTGAAAAAAAAACTTGCATTAGTGAAAACGTCCCCGGTTTTTTCAAAAAAAAAAAGTCTTGTGCGAGTTCGGGTGAGTGGCTAAAAGAAAAAGAAGCTGCCAATTTCATATTTTCCTCCCTTTTTATCTAATTAAAAATCTTGATTCGCCGATATCTGTAGGTATACTTTTACTTAGCCCTGTGGCTATGAAAACTAGATTGTGCAAGAAAGAACATTTTGAAGTACGGATGTTTCACGAAATACAGGCTAACTCCACACATGCGGATGAACAAAAGGCACAAACGATGGCTAAGAAGTCAGCGATGCAAATTCTCCTTTATAATCTGTTGGCTCTTCGTCGTTCACTAACAGTTTTCCCACAACTGGATACTTATCTGCAAACAAAAAAACTAACATTACATTCGGCATTAATTTTACATTTAACTGAAAAATCTCGATGCACTTTTACACAATTAGGAATGTTTATCACCAAAGTCGCTAGGTCACGCTTGATGTGTAGCTGGAGTGCTAGTGCGATGAATCCAAATCCATCAAGACCTTTGAAGGGCCAACAAAATCACTTTACTGCTTTTCTTGACCAGTGTTTCGAAAAAAAAAAAAAAAAAATGAGTGCTTGGCAAATGAAACTACAAAACTGGTTGTTAAATGCAGGCTGGAAATTAAGGGTGCGACAATAACGATGTGGAAACGACTGCGAGCCAAAAAAAAAAGAAAAAAAATGCAAAATTTAAAAAGCGCATCCTTCTTTTGATCCGTTCACTCTAGCGCGTTTAGTTCTCCTCCCAGCGAATCCTGCATTGACGATTCGTAATACTGCGGTCACTGTGAACTGAGTTCATGTATAAATACAATCATATTTTGAGAGCCCAGGAAATTCAAAGTATCCCATCGTCTTATTAAATAGAAACCGCTCAATGAGTTATGGTATAAGGGTAGTCATGCAATTCAATAGTCGCACCACAAATTTTGCGTAAATCCACCTACCTAGGAGAATTGTCACTTCAGGCCCCGTCCAACTGCCTGGGCTTTTCAACAGATACTATGAAAATAGCTGCACTAACTTACCATTGAAACGAATGAACGAGCAGCAGAGAGATTACCCGTCCACTGAGGGAATCGAACTTTCGATTTTTTGCGTGGGAGCAGACTCGTTAGCTCGTTAGCACCTGCCAGAATAAGGGCATATATCCTTTTGGCCAATATGTCATGAGTGCTAATGAGCACGAAACAAAGATAAGCAGCGCTGCTCTCGTGCTTGAGATAGACAGTTCAATTTCACCAGTTAAATAACAAATCCCTCCACCACCCGTTTATTTGCCCCGATGGCAAATGGGTAATG